AGTAAAGGAGCATAACATAATGCTCTGCAAGCAGTTCCTCGCTGCGAGCCACAGACGTGGCCATCCCAGCGGGCAACTGCTCGCGGGAGAGCCCTCGCCACGGCACGTCAGGAGGCATCTTTACGAACTGACAGACGAAGTCCAGAGGTATATTAAACAACCTGTGGACCCGTTAACCTAACGACAGGCCCTGAACGGCATTCACAGGGAATCAGTCTCAAGTTATGTAGACTCCCGCCCTGTGAATGCCGTTCTAGGCACACAACCACCAGACGTGGACGGGACAGAACTTTGTCTGCCTCGGAAGACCCGCACTACAATAGCCCAACTTCGCTCCGGCTATTGCAGCAGCCTCAACAGCTACCTGAACAGAATCAACGAGGATGTGCCCAACCAATGCCCGGCATGTGGAGAGTCGCCACATGACTCCCGGCACCTCTTCACATGCCCTGAGAATCCCACGCAGCTAACGGCCCTGTCCCTATGGACAGCCCCGCTGGAAGTAGCACACTTCCTGGGCCTCCCCCTAGATGAAATAGACAACGTTGATGGATGAACCGCCCCGAACGGGGCTTAGTAGCCGCTACAACTACAACAACATAACACGGTCAATATTAATTGAACCAAACTATTAATTTTTCTTTATTTTTGTAATTTCTTTGGGTATTCATTCCCAATAAAATTTGAAACTCGTATCAAAGTAATCTCGTTTAACATTCTCAAACTGGTTGAATATTCTCAGTCTGTTTTGGTCTTTCGGTAAATTCGGGGGTGGATAGTCTTGATCTTTGTTGCGTACCCTGTTGGCGACAGAAGGGACCGAAGGGGACAAACAACTTGGTCCATAAAAAGATTCGAGGTAGTGCGTTAAACGCCATTCTCAGCCCACGTTCGGTATAATATTAAACAAAATTTTGGACCGAAAATCACATGAGATATACAACCAATTGAGCGTGAATTTTTTGTTAAACTAATTAGACTTAAAGCAATATTCAAATAGTGGTCGATTTATGCGGCATTATTTTTGAAAGTGGATATTCAAAACGACATACTCATAGAATAAAATAATAATAATAAGTAATAAACTGAAGTAAATACTGTACTGATTTTAAATCGAGTACCATCATCTTATAACATAGACTTTAATAGTACGGACTTTACGTCTACCGTTGGCAGAATTTTTTAATAATCGGAATTTACAACTTCGTATTTGAGTCTTTTACTTCGTTTCTTCCATATGCATTATTTCGCTTTTAAATCGAAAATACGTATATGCATAATTTCGGTATTTTCTCATATGCATTATTTCGGTTTCCAACCGAAACTGTGCATGTATGCATTACTTAGTCTTTCACATACGCATTTTGAACAGAAATTGTGCATGCATGCATTATTTCGGTTTTTGTTATATGCATTATTTCGGTTTTCTAACGAATGTGTTCATATGGATAATTTCGTTTTATTAAAATATGAATTATTTACCAGGACCGTAACCGTTATGATTTTTATAATAAAAATCAAAATTTAATCGTTATGTTGTGATTTGTATTTTTTCGATTATTTTTAATCGTTATTTTATGATTTTTATTTTTTTGATCATTTTTAATCGTTATAC